TATATATATATATATATATTTGGCTTCTTACATATATATACTCTTCCTTATATATACATGTAAGAAGCCAAAGCTCAGTAAAACATAGAGGAAGTATTTGAACAGATAATTCATCAAAGAAGATACATGGACACAAAAGAGTGCAGGGAAAGATGACCCATTTTATTAGCCAGTAAGGAAAGGCAGATTGAAGCCACAATGAAGTAACACTGCATGACTATTAAAATATCTAAGACTAGGAAAAGCAAGCACACAAAATACCAGCGAGGCTGTAGCACAACGGCAACCCTCATACACCTCTAGTGGGAATGTGTCACAACCATTTGGAAAGCAGTCGGCCAGTTTCATAAAAAGTCGAGCGCACACCTACTACACAGCACAGTCGTTCTATTTTTCGGTCCTTACTCAAGAGGAAAAAAGCCCATGTTAATAGAAAGGTTTCTAGGTGCGTGTTCACAGCAGCTTTGTTTGTTAACGGCTCCAAATTGGCAACAACCCAAACGTCCACGAAGTAATTCACGGGAACCGTAATACGGGACAGCCCCATAAGGAGGCAGTTAGCGGCTCAGCGATGAAAAACAATGGCCCACTGATACCAGCAGCCACGTGCGCGGGTCTCACAATTTTGCTGAGTGAAAGAAGCCGGGTGTGAGAGAACCGCGCGGGTGAGGACAGAAGGACTCCTCAGGGCCGGCTCCGGAGGACTCTGCAGTCGGTCGCCCGGGCAGGGTAGAGCGGGGGAGGGGAAAAGGCCCCAGAGCTGCCCCATCTCGCCGCACCTCCGGGGCCGGCCGGGGCAGGGCTGCGGGCCGGAGGGGCAGGACCTCCCCCTGTAGGGCTGGAGAGGTGGGGTGACGCTGCATTGAGACCCTCCCAGCACCAGCGCTGTCCCTGGGGTGGGCTGGCAGTTAAGGAGACTCCAAAGGCCGAGAGCTGGGCACCCGCCTTCTGCCTGCACCGGGCCGGCCGTCATCTGCCTGACCTCGGTATTTCTCCCTGAATGATCTCACCTAGCAGGTCGTGGGAAAATCCTAATGTGTGTGTTCCACTTCTCTTGACAGTTTCACCGAAAGGGACACGGTTTTGCCCTTTGCAAGATTGCCACATAAAATCACAGTCGCCGCAACCCAGGAATGGGAATCCAGTGGCCCTTTCTTGATACTTCATGTTTACGTTTTTAAATCAGAACTTTTACCAAAACATTTGGAGAAATGGCTGCACTTCTAGAGGGACAAACAAATTAATTCCCATGACACGTTTGCAGTACTGCAAAACTGTCAGTTTAAATAATTTCCCCCAGAAACTAAACAAAGTGAGGGAGCATTGCCACTGGCGCATTGCTGCTAGGGAACCTCTGTTTTGAAAACTCAAGTTACTGAATATCACTTCAATAGATCCTGGAGGCTACTAAACAGAAATCGCAATTTTGAGCTAGTTTTTATAGGTGGCATTTAGTGTTTGTTTTGTTTTTTAAATAGAATCCATATGGTGTGATTCTACTTCCATGAAATTTTAAAAACACAAGCTAATTTTTAGGTACAAAAGTAGATCAGTTGCTTTCTTGGGATTGGTGGATAGGGAGAGGCGTGAGAGAGAGAATACCAAGGGACACTACAAACATTTTAAAGATGGTATGTCCATCATGCCCTGGGGCAGTGCAAGCTGAAGTGTGCGGAATGCACCTGATTTCTGTTTCTACCGCCCCACCCAGATTAATGGGCATGTATGGGGACAAAGTATGGAAACATTGTGCGTTCTTTGGAGTAAAATAAGGCCCTGGTGGCACTTTAAATGGTACTTTTAATTCTTGTAAAACCCCCTTGAAGAAGTACCATTACCCTTATTTTACACATGAGAAAATAGAGCCTCAGAAAGTTTGACAACTTGCTCTATGATTGCTACTCTCTGGCCACAGAGCCAGTGCTAATGCCAGAAGACTTTACCAGCTGCCACCAGCCACAGCGCTTTGCTCAGTCCTGGGAACTCTATCTTTTCCTACAATATCTGGGAATGGTGAGGGTGTGCAGTCATGCCCTGGGACTTATATGTTCGTGCTTTGTCTGGAGTCCAATGTGGTACTAAGGACCTGGGGAGATTAGGATTCCTGCGCTTAGGGTGACCAACTGTTCTCCTTTTCCTAGGCTTGAAGGGGTTCCTGAAATGCAGGATTTTGATTTTGATTTTAAAAAATCAAAATTTGATTTGATGATGAGCCAGGCCTCTAGATCAGCAGAGGCCTTGCTCTCCAGGAACTGATTTCATGGCTCCTTGGTCCTTCAGAACATGCACAGAATATTTTTTTGAACTTTAGGCCAAACTGATGAGATGGCTTCACTGGTAAATAAAGAAACAAGGGAAGGCAGTGTTCTTTTTCATTGCTCTTTTATTTCTGTGCTGTCTAAATGTCAGTAACACTAGGAAAGATGGTTCCTGCTTTTTTGACCTTACATTTGCAGATGGGGGCCTCCATGGGGTAGATGGCTATGAAAGGAGTCAGGGCCTCTGGTTGGGTAGAAATGGCAATCAGCAAAAAAACAGCTTTTCTAAACCAGACACCCAGGGATCTCCTACCCTAAAAGGGAGGAACATGGCTCCAGGGACAGTCTACTTGTTTGGCTTCTTCTGCCCGGACAGACCTGGCCCATCTTGTGAACTTTGGGTCTTCTCTTGGGTTTGAGGGCCCTTGTCCTGGTTTTGGGTTTGGTTGGGTCCAGATTCCTTATCCGAAGATGTACACTCAGGCTTGGTCTCTGGACAGCACCTGGTCTGAATGTAACATGGAGGCTTTGGGGGGCAGCATTGATTGCATTTGGGGGAGCAGCACTGATTGCATTTTGGGGGGCAGCATGGATTGCTTTTTGGGGGGCTGCACTGGTTGCATTTTGGTTGGCTGCATGGATTGCATTTTGGGGGGCAGCATGGATTGCATTTTGGTGGGCAGCATTTATTGTGTTTTGATTGGTCAGACATCTTCTGGAGATTTAGAGGTCCTAGGAAAAAAAATAGAGAAAATCTCATCAGAAGGAAAGTTGGGTGCATGCCTTCATTTCCTCCTCCTTACTTAACCCCCCAATATATCCATCTTCAGGGTGATGACTCAGACCAGAGTTAGGAAAGCAGGGGACACACCAGCCCCATGAGTCTATGCCCTTTTATTGGTCAGTATCTTTGTTTCTTACCAGGGAACCATTTGCCAGATAAAGAATTGAAAGACCAAAATATATAAGAAATTTGCCTGAGGTCTGTTCTCTAATGAGAAACAGTGTGATCCTCAGTAGACTGAATCTGAGTCAAGTTCCAGGCACATCACAAACATCATCTCATGTAATGACAGCTGTCAGCCTGAGAGATAGCCATCCTGACTCCGCCTCACATATGAGGACAGCTGAGGTCCAGAGATCTCCCTCAGTTGCTTTTAAGTAGATTCCAGCCAGGTTCCACCACCCACCCCTCAGGCCCAAACGTATGGTTGTTCTGGTCTCAAATTTGGCTCCCAGGGACTCAGGTGCAATGGGACTCCTGCACTTAGGGTGAGCACCTGTCACATGCTTCCTTAACCTACCATCTCACCCTCACACTGAGCACACGAGAGGCCAGTGCTGTGAGTCGGCTGCAGCAGGATGAGATGGGAAAGACATTGCAGGACCTGAGTTTCAGGCCTGGTAGCCCAAGGCTTGGGCAGCTCTGTCTTCCCCTCCCTGGGCTCCTATCTCTTCTTCTGTTAATAGAAAAGGGCAGTGGCAAAGATGAGGAGAGAGAAACCTACTCTCTTTCTTCCCAGGAAATCAAGCCCTCCTAGGAAGGTCCATAGGCCTAGGCCCCAGTGTGTGACCCCTGGGGTGGTCCCTGTCTTGTTTCCCTGTTCTTCCTGTCATGCATGGAAGAACAAATGGATGCCACTGTTGTGGGCCCAGATCAGGATAAAGGGCCTAGAAGTGGGTAGGGATCAGCAGGCAGTGGGGCAGGTTGTTATCTAGCCTTAGGGGGAACATAGGAGGAGGGAGATGAGCATGTGCCCCCACTGGGGACTCAGCTCACAGTCATGCCCTCCTGTGAGGGAGGTGCCGGGCTTGTCAGAGACCTGTCATCGAGTGGGGAGGATGGGTATGGGATTTGGAGTGACAACAGCTGAAGTGCAACCACCATCTGGCCTCTGACACTCACAAGATTTGTAACAAAATCTTCCAGCCCAAACTAGTTTTTAGGACTGAACCAGTTGCTGCTGTGGGCTTTCCTCTGAGCACACATATGTCCGGGTACCTGTGGGGTCTATATGTGTAGTACAGGTGCAGAAAAGGGAGAAGAGAGGTCCTATTTAGCAAGACCACACTAGACCGCTGTGCTTGCTCATGAGCCTCTCACCTTGGCATGACCGGCTCCCAGCAGGGCCTCCCTCCTACCACCAGCACTTCACTTGCTCTCCATGCCATCCCTGCCCTGCAACCCTGCCACCCTGCCAGCAGGCCACTTTCTGTTCCAAATGCTCCATCCAATGCTTAGAAACCCACCCCTCTTGTCTTCTCGTTCTGTTCTTTGCTGTGTCCTGCAGACAGAGGGACTCTTGGTGGCAGCAACTACAAATCCCTCCTCACATCAAAGGCCTCCTGCTGGTTACCCTGTAGGACAGAACACTGTGTCATCCTTCCCTGCAGGTGTGCAGGATTCTCTAGTTAGGTGGCTATAAAAGACCTGCCAGGTGACCTACTTTGCTATTTGAACTACCTTGTGACTATTGAAGACCTAGGGCTTTGGGTGTCTTAAATCATGGGTGTCAGGCTCTCGGACTCAGCCCTTTTCATCTGGGGATCCACCTAAACCCAGCTCACATCATACAGATTGTCCCACTGAGTCAGGTGTGCCTGACATCTCCACCCACACAAGCAGCAACTTTCCCAAACTGACAAGTCAGGCCCCAGCCCAGCCCAGCTTCATCCACTTCAACTTTCTGAGCTGTCAGAGCTTCACCTTGGGGTTTCTCTGTGGGAAGCCTCTGGCCTGTGCCCGAGGAGGCTGTCAGAGGGTCAGCTGGAGGAAATACCCACAGGGAAGGGTCACCTTGCGAGGCCCTGACACCTGGCCTAAATCCTTCACACTCTCAATTCCTGCCTAGAAGGCTGCAGCCTGCGTGGGGTCAGGGGCAGTTCCCTCATGAAAGGGGAATGTGATTTCCTGGGTCGGGGGACTTTATGTGACTCCATACTTGGATCCATTGGGATTTTTAGAAAGAGCTTCCTGTTTTAAGAGAAAGACACTAGAGCAAGGCCTCCAAGGGGTAGGGGTGAGAACAAGTCACAGTCCCTCTTCCAAGGGGTAGGGGAGGGGAAGGTGCAGCTGAGAGGGGCTGAGAGAGGGGCTGAGAGAGGAGGAGAGACCTGCTTTGAGATGTCTGACTTGCGTGGGAGGGAGGAGGAGGGGCAGAGGACAAGCTCTGCAGAGCAGAAAGAAAATGGGACAGGGACACGTTAATATAAAAATCAGGAAAAGGGGAGAGAGCAGGGCCACGAATGTCCTACTGTGAACCACCATGGCTATATTCTGAGATGTGTACCAGGAAAAGAGAGAGAGTGAGCATGTATATTCCTACAGAGGTGTGGGGATGTATGTGGGTCCACGCAGAGCACTGAATCTGTCCCATCTCCTTATGTGGGGTGTGTGGGTGAACGCAGAGAGCTCAATCTGTCCCATCTCCTTATGTGGGGTGTGTGGGCGCATGTAGAGAGCTGAATGTGTCCCATCTCCTTATGTGGGGTGTGTGGGCGCACGCAGAGAGCTGAATCTGTCCCATCTCTTTGTGTGGGGTGTGTGGGTCCACGCAGAGAGCTGAATGTGTCCCATCTC